CACACACACACACACACACACACACACATATATATATATATATATATATATATATATAATTTAGACGTTATACTGAAAAGTATATCCATGATGAGTTTTGTTTGGTGTTAAATTTCAGTACATAAAAAGGTTATGGCACTCTGAGTTCAATGATTTCTGTTTTATTAATTGGCCATCCTCTTCTCCACTTGAGAACTAAATGCTTTTTGAAGAGAAATGAAGGAATATATGTGTGTTTATATGCGTATGCATGTGTGCTGGAGAATGTATTTGAAGGATTTTTACCTTTCAACTTTGTTTAATACATTTAATAAAGATGAACTGTTAAAGCTTACATTGATTAAGATGCTACAATGTTTTGATTGATGATTGTTAGTAGAGTTATGTGATAGTATTTGTCTGTGAACCTTAATCCATATGCTTAGGTGATATCCTTGATTAAAAGCAAGTGGATACAGTTGAACTTGCCAACATGAGCAACTTTGATCTTAGTTTTGTCTCTTATATGGTTAATTTAAGTTGATTCAAATAACAAATAATGGTTAACTTTACAGAATGCAGAAGATAATGAGTACTCAGAGGGGGTTGATCCATCACTTGAGTTTGTCATAACGTCCAGGGATATAACCGGCACAGGGGCTCCTGCCACATTGCTCGTTTTCAATAATGAGAAGGGATTTTCTCCTAAAAACATACAGTCTATTTGCAGTGTTGGACGGTCCACCAAGAAAGGCAACAGGAAGCGCGGCTATATTGGGGAGAAAGGTACGTATACATCAGTACATGATTTCCATGAACTCTGCTTTTTTATCTATCTGTGCTTTAGTTAGAACATTAGCCTTGTGACATAGTGTACCAATAGTTAGACCACAACGTGAGCAGAGTAATGTCAGTGTTGATTTTTTTTAGCTTTTAGGCCTTCCAAAAATGTATGCAGCTTCACAAAATTTGGTGACTTTACTCAAAATCTACCTTCTCAACATGCTTGGTTAAGCTATATTTTGATCCCTGAAACAGGAATAAGTTTATTTATATTGCTTCTCCAAGAATATTGGTCAGAAGGAAAACTTGTATTCTGCTTACCAATCTTGACATGATATAGAGATTAGACACTAAATCCATTGGTTTACATCTCCCATGACTTGAGATTACAAATAATTTGGTGATTTGAGTGGATTAAGAAATCTGTTAAACTCAACTCACAAGTGCATTTGATTATGAAATACCCTAATTGTCTGGATCTTTTAATTAAGAGGTTAAGACAGTTTTCCATTTAAAAGGTCAATATTTATTCTTAATTGAAAGATATACAGGTTCTGTGTGAAGCAATGATGAGTTAAAAGGGAGTAAAGTTTGAATCTATTTGGCCCAAATTGCAAACTAAAATTATGACCGGTGACCTCTAGCTGTTATCTTTTATCATTGGCTTTTTCTAAAGCTTGCCAGATGAATTTTGTGGAAGCCATGCAATGTTGTTTTGATAGCTTGCCCATGTTCACATACATGATGACTGTTATTAATCCACAAATGAGCTATTGAATGCTTGCTGATGTGCCTAGATGTGTTTTCCATCTTTTTTAGTATGTATGTATTTTCATTGTTGTGATAATTCAGTCAAATCTGTGGTTAATCTACAGGAATTGGCTTCAAGAGCGTGTTTCTGATCACAGCTCAGCCTTACATTTTCAGTAATGGTTATCAGATAAGGTTCAGTGAAGAGCCTTGTATGCATTGCAATCTTGGGTACATAGTTCCAGAATGGGTTGAGGAAAGCCCAACTCTGTCTGACATAAGACAGATATATGGTTCTGGTTCTGCCCTTCCAACCACAACACTGATCTTACCTCTAAAGCCTGACAAGGTCAAACCTGTGAAGCAGCAGCTCTCTAAAATGCATCCTGAAGTTCTCTTGTTCCTTGCAAAGGTTAAGCGGCTCTCAGTTAGGGAAGTTAATGAGGATCCAAGGCTCAACACTGTAACCGCAATAGCAATATCAAGTGAGACTGATTTTGTGACGCGGAAGAACATTGATGCTGATTCCTACACGCTCCATCTCTCTGCAGAAGAAAATGGTAATGAGTTGGAAACTGAATGCAGCTATTATATGTGGAAGCAGAAGTTTCCTGTCAAGCAAGAATGCAGAGATGAGAAGAGAATGGAGGTTGATGAGTGGGTGATCACGCTAGCATTTCCAAATGGAGAACGCCTTAATAGAGGAACAAGCTCACCCGGGATCTATGCATTCCTTCCCACCGAAATGATTACAAATTTGCCTTTCATAATTCAGGCAGATTTTCTTTTAGCATCATCAAGAGAAAATATTCTATTGGACAAGAAGTGGAATCAAGGAATTCTGAACTGTGTGCCCTCTGCATTTATTAATGCATTTCTCTCGCTCGTGAGAACTATAGAAGATGCACCAGTATCTAGTTTGCCTCCCTTTTTCAGGTTCTTACCTGTCCAGAGCTCTCACTATTATGAATTGAATGTTGTGAGGGAGTCGATCAAAGCACGATTGGTGGAGGAAGATATTGTACCATGTGAGCCGCACAAGGAGCAGAAGTTCTTCCATAAACCTCGTGAAGTGGGTAGGTTATTGCCTGCTTTTTGGAATATTTTGAGAAAGGCAAGAAAAGTAGGGGTAAGCTTGCCGAATCTCTCTTCCCATGGAAAATATGTTTTGTGTCATTCATTTGACCAAGAGGAGTATGATCACATTCTGAGTTTCCTTGGAGTTGAACCAGTGGATGATGAATGGTATGCTAAATGCATTCAGAGTTCCAATCTGGTAGTTGGGGTTCCAGAAGATGTCTACTTGGAACTTCTACTGTTTATTGCTGATAATTGGTGGCCCAAATTTCATTGCACCAACATCAAGTACATACCACTAATAAAATTTGTGGATCTTTATGAGCGTGCTTCTTTGTGCAGCTTGAGCTCAATGCGGACTGGTGAAAAGAAGGTTCGCCTATCCCGTCAATCTTGGGAAGTTTCATGGCTGATTGACTGGAACCGTGAATTTATATCTGTGGCAAGTCTTCTTTTTATGCCAAAAAGAACCCAGGAAGCTATCCAGTCATGTCCTAACAAGGACAAGTTGGTGAAATGGCTTGCGGAAGAAATGAAGGTTGATACTTTAAATGTTCACGAATATGCAGTTTGCCTCTATAATTCTCTTGGTAATGAACGGAAACCTGCTGTTGTATATGCCCACTTTTTGTATCATTCATTCTGCGAGAGATATATCACTTATCCTGAAGTTGTTGATTTATGTGGTAAGATGCCACTCGTGAATAACTACGGGTATGTCATCAGACAAAGGACAGGGGTTATTGTCCCTGCCAACGAAAGCAAGTGGGCTGGGTTGACTGATTCAAATCTATGGACAGAAGAAGGCTATGTTGAGTTAGGAGAAGATTACATGAATCCAGGCTGCTTTGCAGGTACAGTTACTGAATCGAAGCAGCTCCTTGAGTTCCTCAAACTTCATACTGGAGCTTCGGATGTCCCTAATATTTCTGCTCCCAATGCCTGTATTCCAACTCTATCTTCAACACTTACTAAGAAAAATGCATTCTTGCTTTTGGAATGGATTCGTCACCTGAGATATCAAAGGGCTTACATCCCGGAGAAGTTCTTGAAATGTATAAAGGAAGGTAGCTGGTTGAAAGTTACTTTGAATGGTTTTTCTGCGTCCAGGCCACCTTCGCAGTCATTTGTACTTACACCATCATGGGGAAACGTTTTGCAGAACGGATCTGCTTTTGTTGATATCCCATTGGTTGACCAGAGTTATTATGGTGAGAGAATTGATGGTTACAAGGAAGAGCTGAAAACAATTGGCGTGATGTTTGAATTTGGAGAAGCATGTGAGTTTATTGGGAAACATCTTATGTCTCTGGCAGCGTCGTCCACTTTAACTAGAGGCAACGTACTTTCAATACTACAATTTATCAAGCTCTTGAGGGACAAATGTCTTCCCCCAGACGATTTCATCCGCAGTATCAGAAAAGGACAATGGCTTAAAACAAAATCTCATGGTTATAGGTCTCCTGTTGGATCTGTCTTGTTTGACCAAGAGTGGAGAATTGCATCCAAAATAAGTGACATTCCCTTCATTGATCAGGGGTTATATGGTGAAGAAATCTTATATTTCAAAACAGAACTTGAGTTGCTTGGTGTGGTTGTCTCCTTCAAAAAAAATTACCATCTTATCATCGACCACCTTAAGTCACCTGCATGCTTAACTGCTTTGACACCTGAGGCCATTCTACTAATGCTGCAAATTATGCATATTTCAAATTCATCTGATAAGATTGTTGAAGCATTGAGAGGAGCGAAATGCCTGAAGACAAATAATGTTTACAAGTCTCCAGGTGAATGTCTCTTGTTTCACCCTGAATGGGGTTGCCTTCTTCAGGTCTTTAGTGGCCTCCCATTGATTGATCATAATTTTTACGGAAGCAGAATCTTTTCCTATAGAGACGAGTTGAGAAAGATAGGGGTAGTCGTTGATTTTGAAGAGGCTGCAAAAGTATTTGCTCGCCATTTCCGGCAGGCTTCCATCATCACCAAAGAAAATGTTTCATCATTTTTGTCCTGTTGCAGAAAGCTGAAGGGAACTCAGTTTAGATTTCCTGCGGAGGATCTTAAGAGTTGCATTCGCGAAGAAAAGTGGCTGCGTACTCGCCCTGGTGTTTATAGATCTCCAAGACAGTGCATTCTCTATAGTCCTAATTGGGATTCTATCTCTCCAATATGTCCTCTTCTCCCTTTTATTGACGACTCTGATAATTGGTATGGCAAGAACATTCATGAATATAAGGAAGAGCTGAAGAGCTTGGGGGTTGTTGTGGAATTCAAGGACGGGATCAAGTTTGTGCCTTCTGGTCTTCAGCTTCCCAAGAATCCGAGCTGCATTTCTCGAGGAAACGCACTTGCTTTGCTGGAATGCATAAGGATTCTATTGCAGGAGAAAGATTACTCCTTTCCTGATGCGTTCATGAAAAAAGTTTCTCAGGCATGGTTAAAGACTGGTGCTGGTTATAGGCTTCCCAGCGAGTGCTTGTTGTTTGATTCCAAGTTTGGTGAGTATCTAAAGCAGACTGATGGGCCTTTCATTGATGTAGAATTTTATGGTTGTGAAATTGCAACATACAGACAAGAGCTGTCTGCAATAGGAGTGATTGTTGAAGCGGCAGAAGGATGTCCTTTGATTGCCAGCCAGCTTTATCTTCATGATGAGTTTTCCACTTTCGTTCGAGTATATAATTACTTGAGTGAGTTTAAGTGGGAGCCAGATAGTGAGGATGACAGATGGATCTGGATTCCGAAGGGAGATCAGAATGGAGATTGGGTTAATCCAGATGACTGTGTTGTATATGACAAGGATGAGCTATTTGGTTCGCAGTTGACTGTTCTGAAGAACTACTTTGAGCAGAACTTACTCGTGTTCTTCTCCAGGGCTTACGGGGTAAAGTCCCGTCCTTCAATTGATGACTACTGCGAGCTCTGGAAGGTGTGGGAAACTTCTGAAACTGGATTGTCGCAGGATCAATGTTGCAAGTTCTGGAGGTATGTTTCAAAGAACTGGAATGCAAAAACTGAGAAAGCTCTCCCTGAGGCCCTGGTGAAAGTACCTGTTAATTCAGGCTCAGATGAAATCTTTTTGTTAAACAAACGAGATGTTTTCCTTCCAGATGACCTTCAACTTAAGGATCTTTTTGAACAGTCTTCTCCTGACCCCGTATTTGTTTGGTATCCTCAGCCAAGCTTGCCTGACTTGCCTCGGACTACATTGCTTGAAATGTATAGGAAAATTGGTGTTTGTGCTATTTCTGAATCTGTACAGAAGGAAGAGCTGTCCATAGAAAATGGTGTTGATCAACAGGTAATTCCAACGGAGAAATTGATCGGGAAAGCGCTACTCCATCTGATTCTTGGTTTTCTAGCTTGCCCTCCCATTGAAATGGAAGCAGGGATGAGGCGAAAAGCAGTCCAAGGTCTTCTCAATCTCACTGTTGTAGAGACAACTGAACCGATCACTGTAAGATATAACTTACCATTGTCTTCTGGGGAGATTTTGAATGTGAGAGCAAGCCGCAAGATAAGATGGGACAGAGAGATGTCGAAATTTTTCACTCAGAAAATTGACAGGTCTGGAGGACAGAAAAGCATCATTGAGTTTGCCACATATTTCTCTGAAGTAATATCTGATGGTGTCTTGTGGGAGCACACTGATCATATCCCTGCACTTTCTGAGCTGATCAAGTTGGCCTTTGTGCTAGAATTTAATGAGGAAGCAGTTGATTTTTTGATGAAGTCCAAGAATTTGCAAATCTTCATTGAGGATGAAGAGTTTCTCAATTCTGCCTTCCCTTCTTCCACCTAGGCATGCTATGAAGCATTTGTGGTAATGTTTGGTTCACGTTCTTTATTTTTTATCTTTGCATTAGAAATTTATATTTAGAGGTGGAGAGGAAGGTAAGTCTGTCAATGTAATTTATTTGTAGTATCAGTCTGTCAATATGTGTTGTGAACTTTATTTGTGTGACTTGTGTGCTTTCGTGAATGGGATTCTCTTGTGATTCCGGACAGTTTCTTCGTTTGTAATTTAAATAAGCTGCTAGTTTGCTAATAATATGTCAGATATGTTGAATTCTATTTTCACAAGAGGCCTTGTGTTGTGGCACTCATGGCTTCTTGTATTTTTCATTATGATATTGCTTACTCAACTCATAATGATCCTTTCTTTTGGACGGGTAAGGGTTCTGAATCATTCAATGAAGGAGAGTGACTCACATGCCTAGATAGCGTTGTGTGTAGTTATATTTCTCTTCCTAGCCGCGGGCTACACTCGTAATTAAAAAACACAGCAATATAGCAGCGTGGCTACTCTTTAAATATATTATATTTAAAATGTATAGCCGTACGGTCATACTATTTATTAATCGCAACAATGGTCCCTCAACTATACCACAAGTTACACTTTGGTCACTGAACTCAAATATTAGTCGCAGAGGTCACTCAATTAGGTGTTTTGTTGCACCGTTAGTCCTACCGTCAAATCTCTCTAACGGTAGGGACTAATGGTGCAACACAACACCTAATTGAGTGACCAAAATGTAACTCCGAGTATAGTTGAGGGATCATTGCCACAATAATCTTAACTGAAAAGTCACATTTGCCCATCAATAATCTAAGAGATGCTTGCCACATCATCATTTTAAACAGAAAAAGTAACAGACTTGACGGTAGGACTAACGGTGCAACAAAACACCTAATTGAGTGACCTCTGCGACTAATATTTGAGTTCAGTGACCAAAGTGTAATTTGGGGTATAGTTGAGGGACCATTGCTGCGAATAACCCAAAAAAAAAAAAGACACCAGTATAGCCGTGTGACTGAAGTATTTAATAAAAAAAAATATTTTAAAAATGGACCCACCTAAGCGGCCGATATTTTTTTTATAAAAAATATAGATGCACTGTTATACTCTACGTGGCCATACTATTTATTAACAGAAGTTTAAAAAACAAATTCTGCAATAAGAACTAACAACATGAAAAGCACCATTGCTCAAATAAATAAAAAAAGTTGAAAAATAGGGACCCAAGTTAGGCATGTGAGTCACTCTCCACGCTGAGTATACATTTCTCTTCCTAATGTTGAAATATGTCGCATTTTCGAATTCTCCCTCTCACTCTCACTTGATCCAAGAAACAAGTTACTTAAAGATCGGATCTCATATTCCTCCTTGGTTTTCTAGCATGCATTAACCTTAATTTCCTACTTCAAAGCACTACTTCTCCAGTGTATAATTTGAATCCAAATTTAATCCATACATACTTACGTGATCTGAAGTATAATCCAAAATCATACTAGAAGGGAAGTGTTTTTGGTTGATTCAAATTAAGTAGGGTATTTTTGGGTCGATTCGATGATCCAAACCCGACCCGACTGTTGTTTTTATTTTATTTTGTTATTAAATAACAATATTATCATCTATGCGATTTGAATTCAGAAGTTAATCCAACGGAACAAAGAGTATGAGCTACTAAAACACCAACAAATATATATAATATATATCACATAGCAATAGGAACGAGGAATCATGAAATTCATAACAAGGAACGAGGAATACAATAAAAAGTCTGAAAGCACAAACAACAAGAGAAAGCAAAGCCAAAGACATAGTAGAAATAGATAGATGAGCATTGAGCGAGACTTCTCTGCTACGACAGTTTATTTATCCTGTCATCCTGGAGGACACCAATAATATCCTCCCACCCTCTCTTTTTGTTTTTGGGGGTAACAAAGTGGGCTTGAGAGATGAGAAAACAACTAGACTGAAATCAAATCAATCTAGACCTTGAGCGACCATCTCTGTCTTCCTGGAGGACACCAATAATACCATCAGGAGGCATATCAAAGAAGTGAGTACCCATTTCCATCCCGTGCCCCATATTGGCCAAATAGTCAGCAGCGAAGTTAACCTCCCTGTATACATGGTTGATTTTGCAATCCCAGGAGCTCTTCAAGCAGGATCTGCATTTGTTTCGCAAAATAAGGAGGGGATGATGATCCTCCAAATTAGTATTCAAAAGGTGCAAGACAGGTTCAGAATCAGTTTCAACAATAAGCTTTGTCACTTGCATCCTTTGAGCTAGCTCTAGACCATGACACAAAGCCGACAGTTCAGCCTTCAAAATATCCCCATGACCCAAATTGGCAGAAAAACCTGCTATCCAATCACCAGCCGAGTTTCTAATAAGACCCCCAGCAGCAATAGCACCACTAGAACCCTTTCTAGAACCATCAATATTCAACTTCATGGTAGAGGCAGGGGGAGGCTTCCACGCCAGCATAGTTGGCTCCTTTTTTTTGGGGTTATCCTCAAGACCAGCGCTTGAGATTAGGACACCTCCTCTGCCCGGCTTCTCCTCCTCCTCCTTCTGCTCTAATTGTGATTCTGAACCTGAACCTGCAACCTTTCTGGATAAACCATAGGCCAGCAGAGCTCCTGCAACAGCGCCAGCGCCAGCTGCTATAATTCCACCATTGTTCCTCCCAGGGCCACCACCTTCACCGTCCTCATCATTGTTCCCAGAGCCAGAGCCTCCCCTGCTTTCATTCGCTCCCATTTTTCTATTATTCAATCAATCCAAACTCAACTCTCTCTACTTGATTTTGCAACTCTACGTGATTATATTATTTATATAGAAACATTGGAACTGCCTTTCCAACTTCGGCCTTTGGTTGATGACAGGTGTTTAGATTCTCAAAGACTAAAGCGACTCGAGGATTCCGCGTCCAATCAGCGTCCAAAGCTTATGCTTTCCGTACAATTCCCATTCTTATTCCCACTAGATAAGTCTACCTTTCATTTCAATAATGTTTGTTTGGTTTTCTTCTTTTTTTGCTTTTCTTGTTTCCTCTCTCTCACTTTTTTTTTTTAACTTAGTGGAGAAGGTTACATTTGCTCTCTTTGCATTGAATCATTAACCTTCATCACTAAGTTTTATTTTTGTTCGTAGAAATGGTCCTTCAACTTATATATGAGTTCCATTTTGGTTCTGTAACTCTTCTATTTCGTGTCATATTGATTTCACAATCAAACTCCATCAATATTACCGTCCCTTTAAGGGCTAAAATTCTCAATTTGTATATATTTGTCATGATTTAGCCCTCAAATGAACGGAAATATTGACGGAGTTAGAGAGTGTGACCAATTTGAAATAAAGGAAGAATTGAAGGACCATTGATGTGAAAAAATTAGTTGAAGGACCGAAATGGAACTTGAGCATAAGTTCAAATACCATTTCGATTAAAATCCCTTGTTTATATTAGTAAATATAATATTGTTATATTCATCTCTACTATCATGTGAGAAATTATTGAGTGATGCCGTATTATCACGTCATATGGTGATACTTCACTTAAAATTTTATGTGACGGAGTTTACCATTTGGACTTGATTAGACCACATGATTAATATTGCCAAAATTGAAATGTGATGAACCAATCTAGAAGATGCGTCAAATTAATTGACCCAAAAAACAAAAACAAAAAACTCTCCAGATTGAGATAATTTCACACCCACCCTATTCAAATTGTTCAAAAAATAATTCTTATGCATTAAGTATTGCTTTTGTTTTGGTTGTGTACTTTTTGTCTGTTGGAATCTCTTGTTATTCTGAACAAGTTATTGCTTTTTATTGAAGCATGTTCTATCATCTGGTATTTTCAGAACGGTTTACTAATAGGTCAATTTCTTGATTTATACCAATCTTTGATTACTTCGGATTCTGTTTCTACTTGAGGTGAGACTACCATAATGATCTTTGACATACAAGTCCTAATAAATTTTAGTTTTATATGGAAACAATTCTCCCCTGCATTGAAGTTATTGAGTCTGTGTCAGACTTTCCTAAAGATGACAGTACTCTATTTTTTCATTGCATTTAAAGGTTTTAAGTAAGCTGAAAGGTGTTATGAACAACGCACAATCAGTTTCATAATAAAGAATGAGATTAAATTAAGTTAAAATTATATTTAAGCTGTGGGCACACACATACAGAATTATTTGCCGGAGACAGCAACATGGAGAATGGTGGTACATAATATCATCATTACTGGCTCTGAATGAATAGCCGCAATTTTCCACATCCTTGCAGCAGCTAAATGGAGAGGTGTGTTGTGTTGCCTTAAAAAAAAAGAATTATGTTCAATACCTTAGGAAACTTTTGTTCCACCAAATGCAGCACAACTTTTGTTTTGCCATCCAAAACAGCGATATGTAGAGCAGTGTCCCCCGCTTTGATTATCTTCACCTCTTGAACTTTGGAACTCTGTGATGATCCACAACCTTTTCCGGTGGCCTTTCATGGAATTTTTGAACAGGCTATATAGGTCAGTTCCTCCGGTGAAACCATTGCATTTTTTAACAAGCCATAGGCCACTTCCTCTTGTGAAACCTTTCCCATTTCCACCTCTGTATCCATGGCCTCTTTCTCTAGCTAATCTATAAGTTATGTGATATATATATATATATAAACAAGGAACGAGGGAATACAGAACTAAGAGTATGAGCTACTAAAACAAGGAACGAGGAATACAAAGTCTGAAAGCACAAACTGAATGCAAACAACAAAACATAAGTTTACCTTTCATTTCAATAATGTCTGTTTGGTTTTCTTGTTTCCTCTCTCTCACTTTTTCTCCCTTCGTTGAGAAGGTTACCTCTGCTCTCTTTGCATTGAATCATTAACCGAGTTTTATTTGTTATTATATTAGTAAATATAATATTATCATTTATTTATACTATTTTAGTGGGTGATGCTGTATCACTACGTCAAGTTAGTTGGTCATACTTTCATCACTTAAATTTTATCAATTAATACGACGGAGCGTGCCATTTGGACTTGATTAAACCATATGACTAAAATTGTCAAAATTAAAATGACATGAACCAATGGGAAAGATGAGTCAAATTACGTGGACAAAAAATGTAATTGGGCCAAAATAAAAATAAAACTCTCTAGATTGAGATAATTTCACACCCAATCTATTCAAATCGTTCAAAAATTAAATTATATGAAATAAGTAATTGTGTGACAAACTATTATAGGATTGCACTATACGAATTTTTATTTTCCTTATATTCAAGCTGTGGGCACACACATACTGAATTATTCACTGGAGATAGGGCAACATGGAGAATGGTACTGGCTCTGAATGAATAGCAATTTTCCACATCCTTGCAGCAGCTAAATTTTATGTTGAATACCTTAGACAACAACATTTGTTCCACCAAATACAGCTCAACTTTTGTTTTGCCATGCAAAACAGCGATATGTAGTGTCCCCCGCTTTGATTATCTTCACCCCTTGAACTTTGGAACTCTGTGATGATCTATAGACCTCCACAATCTTTTCCTGGTGGCCTTTCATGGCTTTTGTCAATGGGAGTCTCTTGTTCTGGACAGGTTATTGGTTTGTAATTAAAATCAGCTGCAAGATTGCTAATAATCTGTCAGATATGTTGAATTATATTTTCACAAGAGGCCTTGTGTTGTGGCACATCATGGCTTGTTGTATTTTTCAATATGATTGCATAGTCAACTCATGATAGCTAATAGTTTTGGACCTAGATCTAAGAAGCCCTTGAATTTTTCTCTTTCTAAAGTTGGAACATGTGGCATTTTCCAAATCCTCCCTCTCTCTCTCTCTCACTTGATCAAAGAAAGAAGTTAATTAAAGATCAAATCCCACAGTCCTCCTTGGTTTTCTAGCATGCATTAACCTAAATTTCTTGCTTTAATGCACAACTTGTATATATTTAATTTGCTGTCACTTTGTTTAATCTTATGTTCTTCATTTTGAATTGGAAGTAATTAAATTACAATTTAGATTATATGCCTAGGGCGAGGGCATGGAGTGTATGAAAACACCAGGACGAAAGGAATTGTGCAAAGTTGACCCACTCATAATTGTACCAGGAATTGGTAAGCTTGATGGCACAACGCCCTACAATCAAGCCCGCCTTGTCCGGAATCTAATTTGAGTCCAAATTTAATCCATACTTACTTGATCCGAATTATAATCCAAAATCATACTAGAAGCAGAGTATTTTTGGGTTGATTCGATGATCCAAACCTGATCAGACTGTTGTTTTTATTTTATTATTTTATTAATTAACAGTTGTCCTCTATGCGATTTGAATTCAGAACTCAATCCAGCAGAACAAAGAGAATGAGCTACAAAAACACCAAAATATATATAACGTCAAACAACAGAACATACAAGAGAAAGAAAAGCCACGCACAGCAGTATATTTATTGATATAAAGGAAACTGCAAAATCCTCCCACTCTCCCTCCCTCACTGGCTATCTATTTGCGGTGGAGGTCTTTGAAATAACCTTTAGGGTCACGCGCAAAATCATCCCTTAAGATTTGCTCGCCTCCTCGGCCCGGAGCTTTCATCGTCTTCCCCTTCTGCTTTGGTTCTGATTCTGAACCTGAACCTGAAACCAGACGGGATAAACCATAGGCCAGCAGAGCCGCTCCTGCCACAGCGCCAGCTGCAATTGCACCAGTGGACAAGTCAGCCTTGTCGTTGCGCAAGTCACCACCATTTTCCTCATTGTTTCCAGACCCTTCCCTGCTTTCATTCGCTCCCATTTTTTCTACTCTGCAATCCAATAATTCAAACTCTACTTGATTTCGCAACTTGGTTTTGAACGGGACGGTGTGTGGCTATATATATATATATATATATTACCAAAGGTGTTTAGATTCTCAAAGACTAAAACGACTCAAGGACTCGGTGGTCGAATCAGCGTCCAAAGCTCATGCTTTTCGTACAATTTCCACTCATATTACCCACTACATCATCTGTTTCCTTTCACTTTCTTCTTTACACTAGATAAGTTTACCCTTTTCAATAGTGTTTGTTTGGTTTTCTTCTTTTGCTTTTGTTGTTTCCTCTCATTTTTCTTCCTTCTTGACAAGGTTACCTTTCCTCTCTTTGCATTGAATCCTTAACTTCATCACTAAGTTTTATCGAAATGGTCCTTGAACTTATACCAAGTTCCATTTTGGTCCTCTAATTCTCTATTTCGTGTCAAATTGGTCCCACCGTCAAACTCCGCCAATATTCCTATCAATTGAAGGGCTAAAATATCATCAATTTGTATATATTTTTCATGATTTTGGCCCTCAAATTAACGAAAATATTGACAGAGTTAGACGATGTGACCAATTTGACATGAAAGGAAGAGTTGGAGGACCATTGGCTTGAAAAAATTGGTTGAAGTACCAAAATAAAATTCATGCATAAATTCAAGGACCATTTCAATTAAAAACCCTTGTTTATGTTCGTAAATATCCAGTGATACTTCCACTTAAAATTTTATGTGATTGAATTTACGATTTAGACTTGATTAGACCACATGACTAAAACTGCCAAAATTGAAATAACATGAACCAATCTGGAAGACGAGTCAAATTACGTGAACCAAAAATGTAATTGAGCCAAAAAAAAAAAACAAAAAACTCTCCAGATTGAGATAATTTCACACCCAACCTATTCAAATTGTTCAAAAAATAAATCATATGCATTAAGTAATTGTGTGAGAAATTATTTATAGGATTGCACTTTACGAATTTTTATTTATTTTCCTTATATTTTTACTCCCTCCCAAGGAAGGGAAGAGTTGAAGGTTGAAGATTTATTTCAAACGGCACTCCACTTGCTAAAAAGCTTGGGGAGGAGTTTCTCAATTCTGCCTTCCCTTCTTCCACCTAGGCATGCTATATGAAATAATATTTGTGGTAATGTTTGGTGTGTTTCGCTATAGATGTATGGAAATATTGGAACTGCCTTATACCAACTTTGGCCTTGGTTGACGAAAGGTGTTTAGATTCTCAAAGACTAAAACGACGAATCAGCGTCCAAAGCTCATGATTTTCGTACAAATCCCAGCTATTTTACCACTACATCAAATGTTTCCTTTCACTTTCTTACTAGATAAGTTTACATTTCAATCATGTTTGTTGTTGGTTTTCTTCTTTTGCTTTTGTTAATTGTTTCCTCTCTCTCACTTTTTCTTCCTTCGTTGAGATGGTTACCTTTCCTCTAATTGCATTGAATCATTAACCCTCATCACCAAGTTTTATTTGTTTATTTTAGTAAATATAATATTGTCATAATTTATCTATACTATATTAATGTGAGAATTATTGGCTGATCATATATATATCAACGGGTCAGTTGGTGATATTCCCACTTTAAATTTCATCAATTAATGTGACGGAGTGTACGATTTGGACTTGATTAAACCGCATGACTAACATTGCCAAAATTGAAATGACATGAACCAATGTGGAAGATGAATCAAATTAAGTGGACAAAAAAATGAAATTGCCAAAATAAAAATAAACCCTCTAGATTGAGATAACTTCACACACAACCTATTCAAATCGATCAAAAATTAAATTATATGCATTAAGTAATTGTTTGACATACAAACTATTTATAAGACTTATTTCAAACTGCACTCCACTTACTAAAAAAATATCATCCCATATGTAAAGTAATCTCGTTAATTACTTTGTATAAAGTATTCTCAGCTTTTGTCTAAAGTAATTTCATGATCATGCTTCTCTCTCTCTCTCTCTCTCTCTCTCTCAATATCAATGAACTTCTCTCTCTCAAAATTACCATATAAGGAAACTCATCACCAGTCTCACAGTCAAAACCACACCATCTGTTCTATCTACTCTGTCTCATTCAGTCCTTCTCTGTGAACTCAGCTTAATTAGAAGAAGAGTGACGTAAATGGCGACACCCAGAGAGCACATAGAGGAGATAAGGAAGACAAAGTTCTCCATAGGAGCAGATGGACTCAACCCTTTAACTGAGGATCTTCACCAGGCTATCAATACTCTCTCTGCTGAACTCTATGCCAAAGATGTTCACTTCCTCATGGAACTCATCCAGGTTGTTTATTTTATATATACATTCCTACATATCATGACTTAAGTTTGGTGTTAAGGTTAGTGCATAGTCTTAGAATCTTTTGAATCTCTAATTTTGTGTGTGTGCATACATATCTGAGTATATATTTGTCAGTCTATAATTTAATGGTTAATACTACTTACTTTACAGAATGCAGAAGATAATGAGTACGCAGAGGGGGTTGATCCATCACTTGAGTTTGTCATTACATCCCGGGATGTAACAGCCACGGGGGCCCCTGCCACATTGCTGGTTTTCAACAATGAGAAAGGATTTTCTCCTGAAAACATAGAATCCATTTGCGGTATTGGACGGTCCACCAAGAAAGGCAACAGGAATCGCGGTTATATTGGGGAGAAAGGTATGTGTATATCATCAGTACATGACATCTATATTAATTCTGAGTGTTTTTTAATTATTTGAAATTATTATTTTTCATTTTTCATATCTGTGCTTTAGTTAGAACATTAGCCTTGTGAAGTTGTGATCACAATGTTGAATAAAATAATGTCACAGCTGATTTTTAAAGCTTTAGGCCTTCCGAAAATGTACGCAGCTTCACAAAATTTGGCGACTTTACTCAAAATCTACGTTCTCAACATGTTGGTTAAGCTTTATTTTGACTCGAGAAACAGGCATATGTTTATTTTGACTCAAAATTTCTCTTAAACAGGAAAACCTTCAATGTGTGTGAGGAGAAACCGGTTCGCCGCCTCGGCGGCTAGTTTTCTCCGGCCGGAAGTCCAACAGAGAGCAGCTCATTTTCCATCTTCCCCATTTTCAGCTCATTCTCCTGGATTCGGAACAGGGGTGGCGGTGGTTTGGGGAGGCTGCAGGTTTTTTTTAGGTTAAAACCAGCAAAAAAGTTGGGGTAAAAGCGTTGGGGAAGAGGAAAGAGGGAAAAAAAAAAGAAAAAAAAAAGGCACGTGTTGGTTTTTGAAGGAGCCCACGTCATGGTTGAGGAGGAATGGCTCCTGATATATCAGGAGCCAAGCATTGTCCATAAAATAATGTCACAGCTGATTTTTAAAGCTTTAGGCCTTCTGAAAATGTACGCAGCTTCACGAAATTTGGCGACTTTACTCAAAATCTACGTTCTCAACATGTTTGGTTAAGCTTTATTTTGACTCGAGAAACAGGCATATGTTTATTTTGACTCAAAATTTCTCTTAAACAGGAAAACCTTCAATTTGTGTGAGGAGAAATCGGGGGCCCATCTTTTCTTTTGTTTTTTCATCAACATATAAATGCAATTTTCCTTCTCAAACCCTAACTCTTATACGAGCCGTCTTCCAGTCCCTCTCTCTCTCTCTCTCGCTCAGACATAACCCGACCTCTCTTCTTCTTCAATCCTCATCTCTCTCGCTCATAGCACCATCCTGATCTCGTCCCTGACCTTGGAGATTCCTAAATGGCGTCTTTTTTCTTCTAGGCGCAGGAGTTGAAGGTTGAAGATTTATTTCAAACGGCACTCCACTTGCTAAAAAGCTTGGGGAGGAGTTTCTCAATTCTGCCTTCCCTTCTTCCACCTAGGGTGGGAATGTTTGGTGTGTTTGGCTATAGATATATGGAAACATTGGAACTGCCTTATACCAACTTTGGCCTTGGTTGACGAAAGGTGTTTAGATTCTCAAAGACTAAAACGACGAATCAGCGTCCAAAGCTCATGATTTTCGTACAAATCCCAGCTATTTTACCACTACATCAAATGTTTCCTTTCACTTTCTTACTGGATAAGTTTACATTTCAATTATGTTTGTTGTTGGTTTTCTTATTTTGCTTTTGTTGTTTCCTCTCTCTCACTTTTTCTTCCTTCTTTGAGATGGTTACCTTTCCTCTAATTGCATTGAATCATTAACCCTCATCACCAAGTTTTATTTGTTTATTTTAGTAAATATAATATTGTCATAATTTATCTATACTATATTAATGTGAGAATTATTGGCTGATCATATATATATCAACGGGTCAGTTGGTGATATTCCCACTTTAAATTTCATCAATTAATGTGACGGAGTGTACGATTTGGACTTGATTAAACCGCATGACTAACATTGCCAAAATTGAAATGACATGAACCAATGTGGAAGATGAATCAAATTAAGTGGACAAAAAAATGAAATTGCCAAAATAAAAATAAACCCTCTAGATTGAGATAATTTCACACACAACCTATTCAAATCGTTCAAAAATTAAATTATATGCATTTAGTAATTGTTTGACAAACAAACTATTTATAAGACTTATTTCAAACTGCACTCCACTTACTAAAAAAATATCATCCCATATGTAAAGTAATCTCGTTAATTACTTTGTATAAAGTATTCTCAGCTTTTGTCTAAAGTAATTTCATGATCATGCTTCTCTCTCTCTCTCTCTCTCTCTCTCTCAATATCAATGAACTTCTCTCTCTCAAAATTACCATATAAGGAAACTCATCACCAGTCTCACAGTCAAAACCACACCATCTGTTCTATCTACTCTGTCTCATTCAGTCCTTCTCTGTGAACTCAGCTTAATTAGAAGAAGAGTGACGTAAATGGCGACACCCAGAGAGCACATAGAGGAGATAAGGAAGACAAAGTTCTCCATAGGAGCAGATGGACTCAACCCTTTAACTGAGGATCTTCACCAGGCTATCAATACTCTCTCTGCTGAACTCTATGCCAAAGATGTTCACTTCCTCATGGAACTCATCCAGGTTGTTTATTTTATATATACATTCCTACATATCATGACTTAAGTTTGGTGTTAAGGTTAGTGCATAGTCTTAGAATCTTTTGAATCTCTAATTTTGTGTGTGTGCATACATATCTGAGTATATATTTGTCAGTCTATAATTTAATGGTTAATACTACTTACTTTACAGAATGCAGAAGATAATGAGTACGCAGAGGGGGTTGATCCATCACTTGAGTTTGTCATTACATCCCGGGATGTAACAGAAAGAAGATTTCCGAGAATTGGAAAAGAAAGAGATGATGCTTATATTGTTCCCACAATCTTGTGAGTATTTGCTAGATTATGCGTGCCTTGAACGATATGTGCCAATCCAAAATCTGAAACTTTTGGGTTCACATTCTCATCCAAGAGAATGTTCCAGACCACAATGTTAAATAAAATAATGTCACAGCTGATTTTTAAAGCTTCAGGCCTTCCGAAAATGTACGCAGCTTCAAAAAATTTGGCGACTTTACTCAAAATCTACGTTCTCAACATGTTTGGTTAAGCTTTATTGTGACTCGAGAAACAGGCATATGTTATATAGCTTCTCCAAGAATATTTTGCTCTTGTTTATGTTAAATTCTGAGTTAAGCTCTTGTCTGTTCGAATGCCTAAGCATGTTGATGTTCTCGGATGTGCTTTTTCGTTTTGTGTTGTTTAACCAAATTTGTGATTAATATACAGGAATTGGGTTCAAAAGTGTGTTTCTCATCACTGCACACCCTTATGTTTTCAGCAATGGATATCAAATAAGGTTCAGTGAAGATCCTTGTGTGCATTGCAATCTCGGGTACGTAGTTCCTGAATGGGTTGACACAAACCCTAATTTGTCTGACATAAAACAGTTATATGGTTCTGCTTCTGCTTCTGCTCTTCCCACCACAACATTGATCTTACCTCTAAAGGCTGACAAGGTCCAGCCTGTGAAGCAGCAGCTCTCAAGCATACACCGTGAGCTTCTGTTGTTTCTTTCAAAGATTAAGAAGCTCTCAGTCAGGGAAGACAATGGCGATCCAAGTCTCGACACTGTAAGTGCAATTGAGATAGCAAGTGAGACTAACTTTGTGACCAGAAAGAACATTGATGCGCAGTCCTACACCGTCCATTGTTGGAAATTTGGCTCACATTAAGGTTGCAAGTGAAGGAGGCAGCGACCGGTCGCAAGGTTTGGGCGACCGGTCGTTTTTGGACAGAGTCGAAGTCTGAAAAAATCACAGAAAGCGACCGGTCGCAAGGTATCAGCGACCGGTCGCTATGTATCCAAATGGTCGTAGCGACCGGTCGCAAGGTATCAGCGACCGGTCGCTATGTATCCAAATGGTCGTAGCGACCGGTCGCAAGGTATCAGCGACCGGTCGCTATGTATCCAAATGGTCGTAGCGACCGGTCGCAAGGTATCAGCGACCGGTCGCTATGTATCCAAATGGTCGTAGCGACCGGTCGCAAGGTATCAGCGACCGGTCGCTATGTATCCAAATGGTCGTAGCGACCGGTCGCAAGGTATCAGCGACCGGTCGCTATGTATCCAAATGGTCGTAGCGACCGGTCGCAAGGTATCAGCGACCGGTCGCTATGTATCCAAATGGTCGTAGCGACCGGTCGCAAGGTATCAGCGACCGGTCGCTATGTATCCAAATGGTCGTAGCGACCGGTCGCAAGGTATCAGCGACCGGTCGCTATGTATCCAAATGGTCGTAGCGACCGGTCGCAAGGTATCAGCGACCGGTCGCTATGTATCCAAATGGTCGTAGCGACCGGTCGCAAGGTATCAGCGACCGGTCGCTATGTATCCAAATGGTCGTAGCGACCGGTCGCAAGGTATCAGCGACCGGTCGCCCCTGTGCTGTGCTGATGTTTTCTTACGTGTTTTCAACTGTGTTTTCGGTGGC